AAGTTGAGGTGAATATCATTCTCAAACCTAATAGAAGTTAAAGGGGAAATACATAGAAACAAACATCATGGATATGGATATGATTTATTTGGCTTTATTTTCTTTTTCCATTCGTTATTTCCCTGTCATGTGAGAAGTCTCTCTTATTCCTACATAGCTCAGCTACAGGATGGCATTGGCAGAAAGTATTTTCATGTGCATATTAGAATACAAAATGCGGAAGATGCATTGGGTAAATTGCCACCAGGCAGCTTAACCTGTGCATTAACAAGTGGGTGCAGGATTTTGTTGTGAGGATTACTGTGATTTAAAAGAACAATAAATAATTACAAAAAAAGGTCTCAGGAAGGAAGCACTGTAGACGTGACAAAGGCTGAGCATTTGCTACTGGGTATTAATACTGTTTGTGTTTAGGTTTTGGCATGTTGTTGATTATAGACATTTTTTACTAAATGTCATTCGTAAATATAGCAAGTCCATGCCTGAATAAATCTCTCACATCCTATGCCACTTACTGCTTGATGCATGGCATTTCTGTTGATGTTAATGAATAAAGTAGCATAGAGTTTATCCCAGTGGGCATGGTGCATGCAGTTCTTTACAGCTGGAGATTTATATGTTACAATGTCCATACTGGAATTCTGTTAATAACTGTGCATACAACTAAGCCTCACACAGATCTGTCTGAAGACAGTATCCTGACTTTTTAAAAATTCACTCATTTAATGCACACTGCAGCTTGTGTCCAGATTGTCTGGCAAGATTATATACTGCCAGCAATATCATGGCAAATTTGATGGGGGACCAATGATTCAAAGTGACACACTAGTCCTTCCTTTGTGCCTTTGGGTATAAAATAAGCAATGTCTCAAATGCTGAGTCAGCCCAGACTATGTAGCTGACCTTCAGTCTCTACAAGTGCATAGTAGCAAACAATGTACAGTCTAATGATTCAAGGAGAAAAATCAAAAGACTTCACAATAATGTAAATGTTAACCAGGCTGTAACCACTCAATAAGTGTAAGTACCTCTTCTATCTTCATCTGCATGACCTTCCATTGGCATTCCCATTCCTTTCTTTCATTGTCAAATCTCTCCAGCAGTTCCATCTTCTCTTTATTCCAGTTTCTCTCAGTATTCTCCAGTTGTTTACGTAGGTCCATTGCTGCAGTCTGAGGATCAGCTAAAAGTTGTTTCTGCTCCTCTTTCTTTCCTGAATATTTCTTGGAAGTTAGGAGCAAACTTATCAGAAGAAGTCCTATATGCCTTTGATTCTAGCTTCAAGGAAAGAAATAAAGCAAATAGAACAGACAGGCAATGAATTCCAGTTGTGCTGAAACTGGTTTGCAGGAGACAGCACCAGGGTTGTAATTATAAACACATACTATAGTACAGATATGTTGAAGAACTTGGCAACAGGAAGAAAAAGAGCTCAAACTCTCCTAAATGTGATATAAGATATCACACTGAGTCTGTTACTCTGCACACTTCAGCTATCCAGCATAAGAACAAAGGAAATGTACACAAATGGATAATATTCAAACTTATTGAAATAAAGCAATGGTGCTATATTAGCACTTGATATTACAAGGTAGTGAGAGCCTGTTGCAAGCTGCTGTGCACCTTTAATTTCTCTCAGAGTGAATTGCAGAGCAATGCCCTGGAATCTTGCAAGATCTGTCCTTTAGGCAGAGTGGCCAAGTATGCTGTCTATAGTTGTCACAAGACAGTTCAGCTACAAATCTAAAGATAGTAAGTTTGCTCAGAATAATGCAGACTTTATACCGCCACATGTAAAATAAGTCCTAGTAGTATATATATTTGTATACAGTATATAGTGTATAGTATGTGTGTGTATCTATATAACACAGGATTGTGTGTTTATCTATTATACACATAATTATGTATATAATTACATAAAAATAAATGAACTTACAGATAAAAATCTCAAAATTTCACTCACACATCTTCATATTTATGTGTATGTAAGAATGGAGTGTTCTCTATTAGGTAAAACCACTTTCACACATAAACCCATCATGCATTTTGGTTTTACAAATGTAATTAAATTAGAGTATATATTCCCAAGTCATGGGTCTCAGAGACAAGGGAACTAGGTTTTATCCTCACCTTTGACACAGATGTAGTATGAGACTTCGAGTAAATCATTTAACCTCTCTGAATTTCAATTTCCCCATGTTTAACAAATGTAAGTTATGGCGCTCAACACCTTATAAAAACTTTGGATGAAAATGTACTAAACAGCACTCTTATATTATGGTTTGTGTGTACAGCAAAGCTTTTTTCCTGAAGCTTTCATGGGCATGATACTCCTCTTACTTTCACAAATTATACAGCAGTATTTCATTCACATCAGCAAATTTACTGCTATACCCATGTAAGTGACATTATAATTCATTCTTAGAAGCAGAAGTTTAGTAACCTTGCATGGCATAATGTCTGCTATATATTGATGTGTAGGTTTTTAAGATTTGGTTTTTAGAACAGACTGCTATGTTCTCTAGGTAAACAGAAATACCTGTGTCACTTCACAATATACTTACAAATTGTATTAGTCAATGAAGAGAGGCTGAGACTATGTTACTTCTCAGGTCACAACAATTATTCATTTCATTGGACATGTTTTCTTTGATATGGTGATTACTCACCTCTATAAACCTCTGCAATTCCCTTTTGAGTCACGTGCAAACCTTTGACCAAAGCACCTTCTATTGGGCAAAGCATGTTGGTTCAGCTGTGCCTACTATGTGATCATTGAGTATCAGCATCTGTTTTATTTCAGCCAAATACTAAGCTAATGCCAAATACTAAGCTAATGAGCTTCTTTCATTAACAAGTGAGCTGAAGTCCAATATGTTAATGGTGTCTCTGAATCAGATGAAGTCCTGCCACAACACATTACACTGACACTAGTGAAGATCCCTCAAGGGATGCTGGGGCTTTAGAAGGCAGTATCTCAGTGAACACTGAACCTCCCTGTCACTGTTTTTCAAGATCACAGTGATGTAATGGAATTCTTTACCTGTCCAATGCAATGTATGAGCTTAGCTCTTTCAAAGTCCCACTCAGATGTGTCACTGGAAAATTGTAAGAGCAACCAGTTCCCTCTTCTCTTTTCCTCTTTTCAGCTCTATCTGAACCACTTCCAAAACAGGCTTCACATCCAGCAAGATCCTGGATGTGGAGGATTTCACCTGCCTAGAAACATTTAACTCATCTTAAAAAATGAAGATCTGTACAACTAACAGAGCTGCTCAAGGACAATGCAGCATTCTCAACATAAAGTCCAGTTTGAGTTTGCTGCTTTGGCCAAGTTCACAGCTTCATATGGAAGCAAGCTTGAGTATAGAGCCTGCTTTTCTCCAGGGCCAAAACTCCAGTTTGGCATTTAGGACTGCAATAAATGTTGATCAAAAACAACACTGCACTGCCCAGAAGAGCTTTTGTAACTGAGACATCTTGTTGTTCCAGCCCTTTTGGCGTTTTTACACTTCACTAGAGGAAAGGTTGCAGTTCTTAATTTGGCACACTGCTAATGACCTTTTTTGCTGTTTTCTTTTTTTATAGACCATCTAAGCCCCACCCAAGTGAAATTAGAGGAATTAAGCAAAATAATCTCTCTATTTCCTCACTTAATTCCTCCTTCAAATGTTTATAGCAAAGAACCATGCAAAGGCATAAGGTAGAGACAGGGATATATTCACCTTGTTGTTTGCAAAACTACCTTTGATGATCAGTGATAATTACTGCAATTCAATCAGAATCAATGAATAAATATTACTAGAAAAAATGTGAAAGCCATATGCTTCAGTTTAATATTTATAGAATGCCCTCCTTTCCTGGATGCATTGACAAAGCAGTTTAGCATATCAAAAGTCCCACGATGCTTTTTTAGGGTCATTCCTGATCACTCCTTTGTTCACATCCATCTTCAAAATTTACTATCTGCCTCATATAAGTGGTCCTTTATACAAATAGACTGGAGACCACCAGAATATAAGCAAGATCTGAAAAAGGTTAGTTACCACTATTTACTTGTAGCTCTACAGCTGCCCTCAAAAATGCTTCTTTAGACCCTGCTACACATGCAAATTAAAGCTGGATAGAAAAAGCAGCTAGAAATGTATTACACATGTTCCAGCTCTGGACAGACCTTCATATGGTGTGATAGCTAATTTGCGCTTGTAGCCAGCCCAAATTAATTGTACAATTGGCTGGTAAATTGTTTGGTACATGTAACGTGTAGAGGGGGCCAGTTTTTTTCATTCTGCCTTCCTTTTCTTCCTCGCATTGCAGTTTGTACTGTTAAAATTTCCCTATCAAGTGCAAATACTCACAGTTTTCTTGAATGACTGGATCACCATATAATTTTGCTGTTACAGCTGCTGCTGGTGCTATGGTGATTAAGTTCCTCAAAGGCCTTTGATTCTTATCTTTTAACGCTTTTCTCCCTGAGAACCAAGAATCACAATTTCTGGTACTGCTAATATAACCACAGCCTGTAGAAAGCACTTGCCTGTTACGACAGGCATTCCATAAGGCTTGAGCAGCAGCACAAACACATGGAAAACCAGTGCTCCTCTTTTTTTATATCTTTTTTCCTCTGTATAATTCCTATAATCTAAAGGCACCCAAATTTTAGTTTGCCATGTGGATTGGCACAGCGTGTGTTCTCTTGTGGTATTGGCACTTTGCACATGTCCTAGACAAGGTCAGAGGCTCATTACAGAAATTGACTTTAAACACCTAATCAATTTTGTCTACATCAACTACATTTCCCTTCTACTTTCACTGGATCCCTCCCCCCTCTCAAGGAAAAAAAAACATTTGAGGCTATTCCTAGTTTCTAATGTTACTCATTTAACCCTCCTCTGAGCATATATCAAAAATGAAAAATAGTATGAAATAAATCTCTATCAGAAGTATGGCAACTGCTAAAAATAAGCTGCTGTGACATCAAAAGAGAAGGTATTATTTTTCCACAGAGACAAGCTAGAGTGCATGTGCCCAGCTATTCAGACATACAAATCTTCCTCTGATTTACAAGCGAGTGATTAATGCACAACTATGGATAAGATGCAAGGCAGATGAGAGCAGACACGGCTACAACCAACAACCCTGGATACAATGCAAGCTTTTGGATGCATAATGAATGAATTGATATATTTTTATTTTCTTTAAAGAAGGAACAGGTATTGAAGATAGTACACACTTTTAACTTGTGAAGACATCAAGCTTCAATATATGGTTTAAAAAACAAAGGAAATATCAAGTTTACAAAAACAGGTTGTCACCTCTCTTGTTAACAAATCAGGTACAGTTTGAAAATCTGCCTGAACCAATGAGAAGCAGTTCCTGGAGGGTAAAAAACTATTACATACTTGGGTGATTACTGACCTACATACAAATATAAACATTAGGCAGATTTTTAAATAACTCTCTGGTCAAACTGTTTATCATTCTTGTAACATTCATTACCCTTATTTTCTATCTTACAAGTTCTGCCAAAAGTCTTCAAGAAACACCGTGAGCCTAAAACAAACAAACAAAAGAAAACCCAACAAAAACCATACCTTTTGTGAATTAAGAAATCCTTTGGAAGTTTTTCAGTCCATTTCAAATGTAGCAGTGAAAGCGGTGAAATGCATAGCTAGCTGGGATAAAGAGTTCCAGTTCTGCAAATCTCGATCTTTAAAAGAAACAAGAAAACCAGGGCAGAGATGAAAACACTTTATCTGGGGCAGCATTTGCAACTCTCTTTGATTAACTCCACAACTTTGACAAACTGAAAAACAGTTCCGTTTAGCATCATCCCAGCAGCTGGTTTCTATGTGACGTCAGTACCCGGAGGATGGCTTTAAAGCCATCTCTTCCAACCCCCAGCTCTGTAACTTTATCTCTGCTCTTATTTTGTGTAAACAACTTCAAGACCAGGACGTATTTAGGTTTTATGGCACAGCCCAGTATTTAAAGCTTGCCAAGGCAGACAGTGTTAGTAAAAAGCTATGACAATGGACATTTTTAGATTTCTTTTATTAGTTGAAGCTAACTCTCTGTTTTAAAGAAGGATTCTTTTATCCATCCTACACCCAGTTTTCAGGCTGCGTTTGACATTCTTTTGAAATTGTACAGCTTGATCCCCACACTGAAAAGGAAAGGGCTTTGTTTACAGAGGCAACCTTTGATGATGGCTCACAGCTTGTCTAAAACTCCTGCCCTCTCCTAAACTCTTTTCTGTATTCAAATATATATTGGCAGTAGTGAAGTAAAGCATCACTAGCCATTGTGTAATCTTATTTGATGTGTATTTTGGGAATGATGACAAATGCCTTGTTCAGGATATATACAAACACTTCTGCTATTTCATAAGGATATGGGATACTGATTCTCCAGTCTATTAAATCCACTTAACGCCTCTCAACAGAGCAAAGTGGATTTAAATTGGCCAGGTATATAGCCCACAGAAATTCTCCCTGCCCAGGGGTGTTCTGGTAAAAATGTGGACATCTCCTGTTCCAGCCATGCCTATTAACCCTGATATAAGCAGGCGTATCAAGGACTGGGAACAGACTGATGGACTTGATTTCTGCCACAGATGCAAGGTCAGTGAAGGACCGTATGACACCATAACCAATTCGATCTGCCTGCTGCAGCTTTGATGCACACCAGGACCGGGCAGCGGAGATCAGGGCACTGCATCCAACTCCCTGCACCTCCCGTCTCGACAGGGCCTCAGTCAGGATTGAAAGTGCAGCCTGTGGTGTCTAATGTTTTTCTTTGCATATCCAGGTGGATTTTTTTGTTAACACTTTGTGACAGGTTACAAATTCCATGTACACTCAGTACAGACAGGCCTAAACTTCTTACAGTGCAAATCTAAGCTCTCTCTGAGGGTCCTGTTTGCTTCACAGACTCCCCCTGGTGCACACAGTGGATATGTGCACATCAGCAACAGTGGCATGGGTATGGGGTCATGCCCCTTCTTGTCCCCACTTGCACTTGTAGATGGAGGTTATTTGTGTGCTCAGGTGTATTTATGAATTAAAACTGCAACTGGTTTCTGTCGGAGGATTCAAGTTATAGGGAAAGACTCCTTTTGCACATCTGTCGGAGAGGGGAGAGCAGGTGTCAGCAGTGTGACCCAGCCTCCGGAAGGACACGGTTAGTTTCCATTCAAGCTGACCGACAGACCAATGGCTAAATTCTACCCTGAAATGCATGAGTAAAATGCCTGGAGTGGGACCCACATATGGACAGGCATGAATCAACTGATAACAGAAGTTGCTAGTAGGATTGAGAATGTAATGTGTGCCTCCAGGGGCTGCTTTGCTTACTTGGCTTTGCTCTTCTTCCCCTTCCCATCTTCTGTGAGGAACAATAAAATGTGTCCATGCTAGAGTTCATGTAAAGCATAAGGGTTTTAGCTCAGGGTGCATTTATAGTAAATATTTAAGCATGTTGCAGGGAAAACACATTTTTTCCTTATATGGTCTGAGTGTAAGCCCTATTGAATACATTACTTGGGTACTTTTTCTCTTCCAGTGTGAGATACCCAATGGGACTTGGGTTGTTTATAAACATTTCAAAAGCCACTTAGGAAACAAACAAAGATGCCTGATTACATGACAGAATATTCCCAAAGAAAATCATTGGCCCATTCATTCAAAAAGCCTTCTTTTGTAAAACCTCAGAACTGCTCTTTGCCCTACGTTATACCCAGACAGCCCAGCTGACATCAAGGGCCATTTTTACATGCCACAAAATTGGCCTTTAAAATGACTTAATGCCCTGTTGCAGCTGTTTGCACGTGTCAGTGGCATAATGTGTTTTAATGGTGAGCTGTTTGCACATGTTGGCAGTGTAACGTGCATTAAATGACCTTGGGACACAGCAAAATAAAACATCTCTGAGGTGGTTTAGTTTGCTGCAGAAGGAAGCACTGGGCCCTGTGCATCTCAGGGGCTGTGCAGGCAGCCTGTGCAGGCAGCCTAGCAGCAGCCTATCCAGGTAGGCTCCACTGAAGGAAAAAAACAACAAAAAAGTGGCAAGCCTGATTTTTTTTTTCTCCCTGGAGCCTGCCTGCCTGCCTGAGCTGCGCAGGGGCCCGGTGCTTCCCGCCACACCTGTCCGCTTGGGCCAGGTGCTTGCGGGCAGGTGCTGCCTGGGGGGGTGCTGCTGCTGCCATGGAAGGAAGCACCAGCCACACATACCCCTTCCCCGGAGAGGCAGGTGAGGGTCTGGCCTGACCCTTGTGTCCACACCACGGGAGTTTGCTTTGCCCTAAATTGAAGCGGTGTTTTTAAAGACCCACTACTTCAATTTAGGGAGAATTAAACTGAAATATACGACCGTGGTGTATACACATGCCCTGTGCCCTGGTAACTTAGAGAAGACCTGTACCTCTAATTGGTTTGAGGTAGAAACCTCGTCTTACAACACTATCACCTCAATGAATTCAACAAGGTTGCATTATGATGAATGAGGGGAGAATATGACCTTACTACTTTTTACTCTGGTGCTTTCTTTAAACATTAACTTTAATGCTAATGTATTTATTCAATGCTATTGCACATTGTTTTGAAGTGTGAAATAAAACATTAAACGCTGACTAGGACAAAGCCTAAATTAATGTTGTCACTCAGGCAATCTTCACATTCATTTCACTACCAGCAAGGCTGGAATGAAAACTGAGTAAAGGCTTCAGGATCAGGCCTATGAGGAACGTTATGCTACTTGCTAGGAGACCAGATCCAAAGCCCACCAAAATCAGTGGGTATCTTTTAGACAGCTTCAACGGCCATTGCTCCAGGTGTTCCTGGCACTGTAGAGAGAACTGTATAAGGTATTCTACTTGCTGTGGAGCCTGTCCATGAGTTCAAAGATTGGAAAGACTATTTATTGGGTTGAGAAGGAGCTGGTTTCTAGGCCACCCTTGCCCTCAGCATGTGCAACTGTCACTGAAGTCAAATTGGCATATTTGTCTGAGTGATGGCATAATTTGCCCTGTACCTTTTATTTTTAGAGGGCAGTTCTGCTTAGAAAGTGACTATTTTAAACTGACAGTTTCCTACTCAACAGAAATTATGCCTGTGTGGTTTCAGGGTCAAACCTGCTGGCAGATTATGCCTGACCTTTATGTGGGCGAGCTTTGTCAGGAGAACACAAGAAGCCTTTCCTGTTCCTTAAACCTGGTGTGTCTAAATTGCCATTCTACCTGCTCTGAGTGATTTTCTTTGGTAAACTGTTGACCTGCCCGTGTATGGAGTGGGCATTTAGCTATTAGACTGATACATCACCTTCCCCATAAAAGGCTCCGGGCAGCTTACATTAAAAAAATATTTGTAAGATAAATTTGCGTTATATATTGTAAAAATATCAGAGATGATCAACCCAGATCTGGCCTGTGCCACTATGTAATCTGGCCCACAGGACTCCCCACAGCTCTAGAAATTTGACAGCAGAAGAGAGGTGACACCACTACCTAGTTGCCAAATTTCCACACTCATGGGGAGCCCTGAGTCTTGCATTCTGGATTGAGTGCCCAATCCCTGTGCACGGGGATGGCCTGGGTGGCACTGGGCTCCAGGGCCCAATCCTGGTGGAGAGGGGCCAAGAGGGAGGAGTACCAGGCTCCTGGATCCCAATCCTGGCACGTAGGTGTGGAAGGGAGCAGCATCAAGCTCCCAGGGGCCAATGCCAGTGTATGGGGCAAGAAGGGGGTAGTACTGGGCCCCCGGGCCTGATCCAGCTTGTGGACTGGCCCCTACCACTTATCTGGCCTGTAGGGCAAGAAGGTTGCACACCACTGGTTAAAACAGATAAAACTTCAAAATAGAGCTGTGTGTAATAAACAAAGTCCCCAAACAGTGTCCAAAAACATAACTCCTCCTGCTCAAAGCCTGCCCATATAAAAAGTCTGACAATGCCTCCTGAAGATGCCCAGGCTCAGGTTCTGACAGGCTGCAGAGGGAAGGGAGTCCAGAGCTGAGGTGCTACCATCAAGAATAATCGTCTATGTGTTTTCACCAGATGAATCTGGTGTGCAGATGGCATGAGTGGGCAGGACTTGTTTTTCAACATGTTTAGACTTGCTCAGGAGGTGCACTGGTCATACCCATGGGCAGATCTAGGATTTACTAAAGTGGGGTTGTGGCAATCCACCCCACAGACCATCGTTAAATGGGGATGAGGTCTGGTTGGAGCCCCCAGTAGACAGCAGGGTGCCAGGCATGGAGCAGGCTCACAAAGCGGAAGGGGAAGGGTATCTGCCCCCATACCGACATTGCTGCTGCTATCCCTGGCTGACCTGAGAGTAGCATAGAGGAGTCCTAAAGCTGCTCCTGTTCTGCTCTAGGTGGGAGCTGTGGGGAGCAGCTGCATGGAGTGCCAGGCTTGACCAAGGACAGTGGTAGCAGCGCACAGTTTCCTCCTTCCAGTGCCTGCTCCTGGTCAGAATATAAACCTTAAGGATCTGGAGCAAGGATTCTTACACTTACAATACAATCCCAAAACTGTAGCCACTGAAATCAATAGAGGAAGGCTCAAACCTTACTCCAGCCTGGTACAATACCAGCCCTATGACAAGAATAACAGAATCCCCCTGGTTGTCACCTACAGCCCCCAGCTTGAACACCATGGACACATCATTGATGACCTCCAACACCTCCTGGAAAATGATGATCATCTTGAGGTAGCCATGGGGGGAAAAACCTGTCCTGGCTTACAGGCAGCTCCCCAGCCTCAAACAGCATCTCTCCAGCCACAGACTATCTAACTCCTATTCTCACCAAGACAGCAGGCCTTGCAGTGGACCCAGATGTCAGTTGTGCCCCCTCATTAGCACAGACTACATCATCACTGGAACAAATAACACAGAGTATAACATCCAAGGTTCATTCACCTGCTCCTCTACCAGCACGATATACACCATCACCTACACATAGTGCCTCCCTGCTGTCTACACTGGACAGATGGGGTGATCCCTACATGACAGATGCATGGACATTAAGCAGATATCAAGTCCAGAAATGTACAAAAACTGTGTTAAACACTTCAACTCCCCTGGACATTCTCCCGCTGACTTCAGAGAAGCCGTTATTAAACAATGGAATTTTTAAAATAAATAGTAAATTGCAAAGCAAGAAATCATCTACAGACAGGATTGTGTTAAATATGGTCGTAACAGGGACTGGAGATTCTTATCGTATTACTTGGATTCGTTTTTATGTCCCTATAGTTTTCATGGTTTATTGTTCTCTCCAACCCCCTCTGACTCTCACCATTGCCCTCTCTCCCTCTTTCTCCCTCCTTCCCTGTCTTTTGCATTTATATCACTAATTCTATTTGATAGCCTGCTCTGTGCATGTTTTTTCAAAACAATTAGTGAAGTAAACTGTGACTCATAAAAGCCTATGCACCTCTGATTCAGTTAGTATGAGGTGCATTCTAGCTTTCTTCCTGACTTCATACTAACAAGGCTAATACCTCTCTCTGGTGATTAGAGGAAATGGTATGCTAAATTTAAAGGCTCTGCTTATTTGTGTAAACAACTCCTGAAGTTCATGTACAGGTCAGCTTGTTTTGTAACACATGTTCAGACAGTCATGCTTTTGGCAATTTTATATTTTCCAACTGCTGGGTGTATTTCTGCATCATGGCTTCTGCTGTCTCCTAGTTCTGATTCTGAAGCATTGGTGACATGTGTCAGCAGACACTTATCTTGTTATAGCTGTAACCTAGAGCTGGGAGCACAGATATTTTCAGATGAAAGAAATATCCCTGTTCGTGAAGATGCTTCTTCAAGGCACCGCTTCTTTTTCATACACGTAAGTAACTTAGTAGCAAGAATTTAGGAAACATTAAGGTTGTTTATAATTTAAAGGTTTTAAAAGATATGACTCTTAAACCAAAACAGACTTAATTAAGATTCTCTGGGGACATGTCTACACGTACACTTACTCCAGCTTAAATTTACTGCGCAGTAAAATACTGCGCAGTAAGCAGGAATAGACTGGCATCTACAAGAGCAGGCATTGAAGTGCATTAACACTGCATGTGGACTGACTTGGGACTGAAGTTAGTCTCAAGTCAGTCCACATGCACAATGTTACTGCGCAGTAAGGCATCTACACATTTTTCATAGTTTCATAGTTCCATAGATTTAGGGTCGGAAGGGACCTAGGAGATCTTCTAGCCCTACCCCCCGCCAGGGCGGGAGAACAACAAAACCCCAAAACAAAAACGGGACTCAAATGAGTCCAGCCAGGTAGGCATCCAGCCTCTTCTTAAAGACCCCCAGGGTAGGGGCCAGCACCACTTCCCTTGGAAGTTGGTTCCAGCTCCTAGCCGCCCTAACTGTGAAGTAGTTTTTGCGGATGTCCAATCTATACCTCCTCTCCATCAACTTGTGCCCATTACTCCTTGTTATGCCAGCGGGCGCTAGGGGAAACAGCGTCTCCCCCAAACCCTTCTGGTCCCCCCTAGTGAATTTATGTGTTATGGCGCAGTAACTAATTGGGCATAAGTCTAATATCTGCATAATGCAGGTATCAAATTTACGCTCAAGTAGGCATAAGTCACCATATTTACTGCG